TATATGTAATTAGAATCTCAGACGAAGAAGAATGGAGCAGAATAAAAAACACACGAAGAAATGATGGCCAAACATTTCCCCAGTTTTATGAAAAACATTGTGGATCAACAAATCCAAAAAGCTCAGAGAACCCAAAACATAATAAATACAAATAAATGCCCCAAAACCCCACACTTTGGCACATCATAATTCAGCTACTTAAAGCCCAAATAAAGGAGTAAGAAAAAAGATACATTTTATACTATGGAACAAATAAATGAATAATATATAACATCCTCTCAGAAATAATGAAGACCAGTTGACAAGGGGACATCTTAAAAGTAGTTAAAAAAAAAAAAAAACCTTTCAATTGAGAATTCTAAATCTATTAAAAATACCTTTTAAAAATGAGGGCAAAATAAAGATATCTGAGTGAATTTTTGGCCAGCAGACTTCACAAGAAGAAATGCTAAAATAAATAAATCAATAAATAAAATTTTAAAAAAAGATGTTCACATTCAAGAAAAATGTAAACTCATGGAAACTCACTGGTTTGCACCTCGGGTGTATGACTCCCCAACGGGGGGCACCCCAAAGTGGCAAGAAGTCCCCTGGGGCACGGGGATAGGACAAAAGGTGATCAATGTCCCTCCATTCCTCAGAGTTCCTAGGACCTAAGTTGATTGCTCTCCAGGTTTCAGGTTGTCACTCTCCCACTCCCTCCACAGAATCAGTCAGTCCCATTCCGGTACCTGTGGGTTCACCTTTTTTTCATCATCCCCTACTGTCTCCAAGACATTTTGTCCATAAAAGCAAGGTGAAATGGGGATAAAGACAGGTCTACAGAAACTAATAAATAAAACTAGAAATGAGAGATGTGTACAGGAAATGCTATCTATTTAAAGCAAAAGTAATAATACTGAATTGTGGGACTTACACATTATGTCAAAATAAAAAATGTATGACATAATAGCACCAAGAATGACACCAGGGTGGTGGTGAATGGAATTAAATTTTGGTAGCATTGTTACATTTTATAGCAAATGAAACAATATTAACCAAAAAGATTGCAGAAAACAAATACAAACAAAAACAATTAGAGCATTGTTACATTGTATTACCTTTTTACATTTTATAGCAAATGAAACAATACTGACCAAAAAGATGGCAGAAAACAAATACAAACAAAACCAAATGAGAAAAAGAGAAAACAGAGCAAAATGGCAGACCTGCATCTAACCATATCAATAATTACATTAAGTACAAATGGTCTCAAATCCCAATTAAAAGGTACAGATCATCAGGTTTGATTTAAAAACACACACACTAATTATATCTTGACTGCAAGAGACATATTTTAAATATAAGTCACAGATATGTTGAAATTAAAAGGAAACAAACAGTAGGCCGGGTGCAGTGTCTCACACCTATAATCCCAGTACTTTGGGAGGCCGCGGCAGGTGGATCACCTGAGATCAGGTGTTCGAGACCAGTGTGGTCAACATGGTGAAACCCTGTCTCTACTAAAAATATAGAAATTAGCCAGGCATGGTGGCAGGTGCCTGTAATCCCAGCCTGTAATCCCGAGTATGGTAAGCTGAGGCAGAATTACTTGAACCTAGGAGGCAGAGGTTGCAGTGGGCCAAGATTGTGCCACCGCACTCCAGCCTGGGCGACAGGAGCGAAACACCATCTCAAAATACACACACACACACACACACACACACACACACACACACACCATACAACCATAAAAAGTTGGTGTGGCTGTATCAGTGTCAGAAAAGGATATTACAGGGGAGGTGGGACATTTCATAAACATAAAGGGTCAATTCATCAGGAAGACATAATATTCCCAACATGAATGCAATGAATCTGCTGTTAATGCAGTTTCAAAGCACATGAAGCAAACACTGTTAGCACTCATAGAAGAAACAGAGAAATCCACAATCATAGTTGAAATTTAACATTCCTTTCCAGTAACAAGTAAGTTTATGAGTGCACACACACACGCGCACCATAAAGACATCGATTTGGGCTACACTATCAACCACCATTATCTAATTAACACTATAGAACCATGCACTCAACATCGGCAGAATATTCATTCTTTGCAGGTGCACATGAGCCACTGTCTAGGATAGAACATACCTTGGGACAAAAAAGTCAGTAAATTTCACAACGTGAAAATCTTACAGAATACACACATTTTCTGACCACAACAGAATTAAGTTAGAAATAAATAAGATATATAGAAATTCCAAAATATTTTAATAATACAATATACTTTTAAGTAACACTTAGATCAAAGAAGAAATCACAAGGAAAATAAAAATGAAAACAAAATAAAATTTGCGAAATGCAGCTAAAGCAGTGTTTAGGGGAAAATTTAAAAGTTTATCTGTTTATGTTAGAAAAGAAGGTTTAAAAATCAATGGTCTAAGTTTTTACCTAAAGAAGCTAGAAAAAGAGAAAAATAAACCAAAAGTAAATAAAGTAAATTAAGTAATTAAGAGCAGAAACCAATGAAATAGAAAACAATATAAAAAAATTAACAAAGCCAAAAATTGGCTGGAAAGGATTAATAAAAATGAATAAACTCCTAGTTAGAATGATCAAGAAACAAGGGAGAAGAAATCAATTGCCATTATAAGCAATGAAAAAGGGAATATTGGTATGTGTCTTGTAGTCATTAAGAGGACATAAAGGAATATTATAAACAATTTTATGCCAAAGCATTCCACAGCTTACATAAAAAGGACTCGTTCCTTAAAGAAACAAAACATAAGAAAACTGATCTTCAATGCAGCAGTATTGGAAAGCAGGGCCTAATAGGAAGTATTTGGGTCAGGGGGGCACTGTCCTTATGAATGGATTAACGTTATTATCCTGGAAATGGGTTCGTTCTTATAGGAATGGGTTCCCTGTAAAAGGACAAGTTTGGTATCCTTTTCTCCCTTTGCTCTCCCATCATGATACAGCAAGAGGGCACTTGCCACATGCCTGCCAGCCTCCAAAACTGTGAGCCAATAAAATTTTTTTCATTATAAATTACCTAATCAGTGGTATTCTTTTATAGTAGCACAAAATAGACTAAGACACCATCTCACCAAGAATAAAATCAAACTTCATAAACCATGGTCTACATGACCCTGCCAATTTCTCAGCCCTAATCTTGGACCTCTCTTCTCATCAATCAATTCACTCAGTCATACTGGCTGGCCTGCCACTCCTCAAACATGCTCAATTCATTAATGCCTCAGAATCTTTGCACAGGTTTTCCTTTTGAATAAAAATCACTTCCCCCAGAACTTTACAAGGCTTGTTCCCTTACTTCATTCATGTCTCTGCTCAGCTGTCACCTCTTCAGGCATTTCCTGATCACTTAATCTAAAACATTCCAACTATTACTCTGTCCTCTTACCCTGCTATAATTTTCTTCACAGCATTTATCACTACCTGACATCACATTATGTACATTTATTAATAAATCTGTTTTTACTTATTTGCCTCACATTCTAAAATCTGTGCTCCAGGACAGCAAGACCCTTGTATGTCCCATTCTTTGCTCCAACTTCATTGCCTAGAACAGTACCTGGTCCATGGCAGGTACTCAACAAAAATTGGTAAAATGAAAGAATTTACAGATGAGAAACTAGATAGAGGAAAAGATAACTGCCCAGGGTTATTACAACTACTTTAATAAATATTAACTAAGTAGTTACTTAGTACTCATGACACAGTAGTGAATAAGGCAGATCAGGTCCTTGTTCTCATGGAGATTACACTTCAAAAGAACTCAGATTATAGGTCTTTCTATTGCAGACATTTCTTTGAAACTTAAAAAAAAAAAAAAAAAATCCCCGGAGAAGGAAAGCAAGCTAATATACAACATTCCTCAGCAATTCAATTACAACCAGTTGTCCCAGCTTTTTCTTTTTCTGTCTTTTCTTTTCTTTTTTTTTTTGAGATGGAGTCTCACTCTGTCGCCCAGGCTGGAGTGCAATGGCGTGATCTCAGCTCAATGCAACCTCCACATCCCAGGTTCAAATGAGTCTCCTGCCTCACCCTCCTGAGTAACTGGGATTACAGGTGCGTGCCACCATGCCTGGTTAATTTTTGTATTTTTAGTAGAGATAGGGTTTCACCATGTTGGCCAGGCTGGTCTTGATCTCCTGACCTTGTGATCCACCCGACTGGGCCTTCCAAAGTGCTGGGATTACAGGCATGAGCCACTGTGCCCAGCCCTCAGCTTTTTCTTTTACTCATTATTAACTACTTTTTTTTCCTTTTAGATATATTTACTTATTAGTCTACATGAATCCTATATACCATTTCTTTTCTTTCTTTTTTTTAATCTAAGGTCTTGCTTTGTTGTCTAGGCTGGTCTCAAACTCCTGGTCTCAAGCGATCCTCCCACCTCAGCTTCCCAAAGTGCTGGGATTACAGCCACGAGCCACCACTCCTAGCCCTATATACCTTTTAAAGCATCATTTGTAAAACACAGTCTTACATTTTATATCATGTCTTGAACTTCCTAATAAAACCAAGTACCGAAATCAACATTTCTCAGAGATTTTGGTGATCTGTCTAAAAGAAAAAGAATTTTAAAGAAAATTTATGAGGCCATTCATTGTCCTGATAATATAAAAATATACAGTGATTTAAAAACATTGTAAAATCATTTAGTATTAGTTACAATTACTAACTATAAAAAATGCCACATGAAAAAATAGAACAAAAACCATATAGTGATGAAAGAAGATGGGTTTTAATTTTTTAAAAGGTGTTATTAGATAAGCACATTATGTACTGATCACTTGGAGAGTCATGGTAAAGTTCACAGTTCTGAGTTCTGGCAAGGTTTTGCTCAGCATCCTACCAACTGGACTTTGAAAAGCAGCCTAACCATGCACTACAGCACACCCAGACTTCCTTCCTAAGGCAAAAAATGAGTAACTGGTTTAGCATTGTCCAAGTGTGTACAGATATGGTTAACTTCTTTAATGTACAGTGAGTGGGTGCTTGCTTTGCCAGCACATATACTAAAGTTGGAACAATACAGACAAGATTAGTATGGCCCCTATACAAGAATGACATACAGGGCTGGGCATGGTGGCTCACACCTATAATCCCAGCAGTTTGGGAGGCTGAGGCAGGTGGATCACTTGAGGTCAGGAGTTCGACACCAGCCTGGCCAACATGGTGAAACCCCGTCTCTACTAAAAATACAAAAACTAGCGGGGCAAGGTGGTGCATGTCTTTATCCCAGCTACTCGGGAGGCTGAGGGAGGAGAATCACTTGAACCCAGGAGGCAAAGGTTGCAGTAAGCCAATATTGTGTCCCTGCACTCCAGTCTGGGTGACAAGAGCGAGACTCCATCTCAAAAAAAAAAAAAAAAAAAAATGACATACAAATTTATGAAGTATTCCATATTAAATAATAACAATTATTATTATTAAATAAATAAAGTGAGTGGATTTAGGAATACTCAGGATTTAAACAGGCTTACCTACATAAAATATACATAGAATAAAAAGAAAATAGTGCCTTCAGGTATTTCTGAAACTTTTCTTAATCTATGATGTGATTATTTACCTGCTGCTTCTATTACTGCTCCTAACAGTTTAGTGTTAGACTATTCATAGCACATATACTTGTAGCTATAAATGTCATATGCATTTTAAGAGATAGGGTCGGCCAGGCGTGGTGGCTCACGCCTGTAATCCCAGCACTTTGGGAGGCCGACACAGGCAGATCATGAGGTCAGGAGATCGAAACCATCCTGGTTAACATGGTGAAATCCCATCTCTACTAAAAATACAAAAAATTAGCTGGGCGTGGTAGTGGGCGCCTGTAGTCCCAGCTACTCGGGAGACTGAGGCAGGAGAATGGTGTGAACCCGGGAGGCGGAGCTTGCAGTGAGCCAAGATCGCGCCACTGCACCCCAGCCTGGGTGACAGAGTAAGACTGTCTCAAAAACAAACAAAACAACAACAACAACAACAACAACAAAGAGATAGGGTCACACTACATTGCCTGAGCTGGTCTCGAACTCCTGGGCTCAAGTGTTCCTCCCATCTCAGCTTGCCAAGTAGCTGAGATTACATATGTGAGTCATTGCACTTGATCCAAAAATTCCAACAACTAGAAATACAACTTTAAAATGTTACCATTAAGATAATTTCCATTGGGTGTAACGTACACTATTCGGGCAACAGGTACATTGCCTGAATGTAGTCAGGCTTCACTACTATACCATGTAGTCAGGCTTCACTACTATACCATGTAACCAAAAGCCACTTGTACCCCTGAAACTACTGAAATGAAAATATTTTTAAAACTAAAATAGTAATTTCCAATGACTATATTAAATCAATTTTTAGAGCATGAAAAAAATTAGATCAAGTCATATGAAATAGTTTATCAGCTATCATTAGATTTGTATCTTCACTGTGGGAATTGAAATTTCTATTTATAGTACTATACTTTGGATTTACAAACTGCAAAACTGGGATTCCTGTACTACAAGTATTTCGTGAATAAAACAATTTGAATTCCTATCAACATACCAATGAGAGTTGATAATGATGGGAAGAAAGTGATTTTCAACTTCATCTTTAAAAATAAATGAAAATGGCTATAATAATACCTCAGAACAGTAATAAAGGGAGATTTATTTACTTCTGGAGGAATTAAAAGGTATTACAAAAATACAGAAATTAAAACTAGTGGGAGAAAGAGTAGGACAAGCTGTAAAAGTAGAGAGCCCTGAAACATACATATTAGCAGTAACACAAGGAAGAAATCATCAAATAACAGAAGAACTTTCACTAATCAACAGAGTTCAACAAGAGATGCTGAGTAAGGGGGAATTTAAAACAGAGCTTCTTAATCTTTCTATAAAGTAACAAATAAAATTTTTGATGGATTTAAAAATTAATACAAGGAAAACAGGAAAAATGTAATTATTTGATCACTGAATAGGTAAAACACAAAGGCAGAAACAAAATGGAAAAACAATAAAATGGATATACCACAAATTATCATAGAGGATACAGTTATTATTATTTGTGGGTAAAAATATTTCATACCTTGAAAACCATGAATATATTGAAAAACTATTAAAAATCAACTAAAGAGCCAGGTGCAGCACTTTGGGAGGCTGTAATCCCAGCACTTTGGGAGGCTGAGGAGGGCAGATTGCTTGAACTCAGGAGTTTGAGACTAGCCTAGGCAACATGGTGAAACCCCATCTCTACCAAAAATACAAAAATTAGCAGGGCATGGTGGTGCACACCTGTAATCCCAGCTACATAAGTGGCTCGGGCAGGATAATTGCTTGAACCCAGGAGGGGAGGCGGCAGTAAGCTGAGATCCTGCCACTGCACTCCAGCTTGGGTGACAGAGTGAGACCCTGTCTCTAAAAAACAAAACAAAAAAAAACCAACAAAAGAAGTTTTTAAAGTAACTGGTTAAAAATTATCAATCTTATTAAGTTTATAAAACTAAAAGGAGGAAAGATTTCATTTTTAATAGTATATACACACACACACAGACAAACATATCCCAGGATAGGCTTCATACTGAGCTTAGTTTTACTCATGTTTTCTTTTATACTAACTCTGTATAGTTTTAGGTTTTTTGTTTGTTTTTTGTTTTTCTTCCGAGACAGAGTGTCTCACTCTGTTGCTCTCGAGTAGCTGGGACTACAGGCGTGCGCCACCATGCCCGGCTAATTTTTGTAATTTTAGTAAAGATGGGGTTTCACCATGTTTGCCAGGCTGGTCTCAAACTCCTGACCTCAAGGGATCCACCTGCCTCAGCCTCCCAAAGTGCTGGGATTATAGGCGTGAGCCATCGCACCTGGCCAGTTTCAGTTTTCTTCATTTAGATTCTGTGTATCTCTCATTAAACTTTATTCCTAGGTATTTTCACTCTTTTGTTCCTTTGGCAAATGGAATATATTCTTCCAGTGAGCAGAGGACAGTTCAGAGGTTCTTTCCTTGGTTATCCATCCTTGAGCCCCCATCTCCCATAGTAGAGGGGCTGGGCTTTGATAGTTTGCTTACTGTCAGCTCACAAGAGCAGAAATCACAAACTACTTCCATAAATCAGAGGTTTGTCTCTGTTTAAAAGAGGCTAAAAGTCACCTCTGTACTCATGTTAAGGGAAGAAAAACCACAACGAGAGGGGAGAAAAACTCCAGTATTTCATAGGGACAAAGTAACCTGAGCGAGAGAACTGCATTTTTAGAAAACCTGGCTCCCACTGACATCTGAAGAGAATTTTTAACATAAACCAGTTTAGGACAGAAAAGAAGGCTCTCTGGAACTAAAAACATGATCTCAAATTTTGAAACTAACTAGAAAAAAATAAAAAAAAACAGTGAAAGAAGACAGTCACATCTGAGAAGTCAGTCGATGTTCTAGAAGAACTCAAATGTTCAAAATAATGATCTTACAAAAGAAAGCAAGACAATAGATGAAAATGCTGAGAAAAGACATGAAACTTTAGGAGCACTAATAGCTATATAACCAGATTTCCAGGAGAAAAGGAAGAAAATAAAGAAACATATAAACAAATAACACAGGAAAATTCTAAACACATGAAGAAAGGAATATTTAGTACAGGTGACACTGTTTTTGTAGCAAGGCCTTCCAGTGAAGGAAGTGGTATATTAACTTAGATTATAGTACAAGCTCATTGTCTTCTTGAAAACCAGTAACAGTTTACAGACCGGCTCCTCTGTAATCCAGTGCTATTTTACGTCTATCAGTTATTTTTGTCTACCCCCTCATTCAGTGCCTCTACTCATAATGGCACTTTTTCTACTGGAGAATCCTTTTTCCCCTACTTTTAATCCTTGTGGTTTAGATGGGGGTGGGAGTTCACCTGACTCCCCAGCATACAGTGGGCAAATGATTCATGTCTAGCAAATCAGATTATCACATTCTAGGCTCGATCAACAAAATTAATTCTGAACTTCTGAAAGAATTGCTAGGAATTCTATCCCTCTTGGCAGTAGGATTGAGCACTCAAATCCAGATATATCTGAACTATTTTAATTCCTGGAATTATAAACTATGTGATTCAACAAATTTCTTCCCACATCACCCTCCTACGCCAAGCCAAGGGATCTCAAACTTAGAGTATATCAAAATTACCCAGAGGTTTGTTGGAAAAAAGAAGAAAAAAAAAAAAACAATAGTTGAGCTCAACACCCCAGGTTAAGTCTAGGGTCAGGCCTTCGAGTGTGCATTTTAAACAAGATCCCATGTGATGCTAATGCTGGTCCAAAAATGACACTGAGAACAACTACCTTCAGCCACGATGAGTTCATTTGTGTAACTTGCACCTGAAAGACTTATGACCAATATACCTCCAGTTAGATGATAAACAACAACCCTTTAACAGCACTGGATTTCAGAGTAGCCAGCACAGTGAAAATCAAAACTAAGTATCAAATTATCTAGAAAATAACAAAAACACCTAGAACTTCATACTGAAACCTGTGCAAATCAATTAAGTTTTTCCTAAAAGAACATTTATGGTCTGAAATCCTTATTACCTATAAAAATAAACATTGAAGATAAATTAAGCATCCAACTTATGAAAATAGAAAAAAAAAAAACAAAATTAACAAGACATACAAGTGAGATCTGAAAGAAACAAAAAACACACAAAATTGTAGATAGAATAAAAGGTAATTATTTGAAAAGGTAAACTCATGAGATGCCTAAATGAGAAAAAAATAAAAACATAGAACATTAGGAATTATTAAAATCCAATTGTAGGCCAGGTGTGGTGGCTCACACCTGTAATCCCAGCACTCTGGGAGGCTGAGGCGGGAGGATTGCTTGAGCACAGGAGTTCAAGAACAGCCTGGGCAACATGGTGAAACCCTGTCTCTACTAAAAAAAAAAAAATTATTGGTTGTGTCGGTGTGTGCCTGTAATCCAAGCTGCTCAGGAGGCTGAGGTGGGAGAATCACCTGAGCCCAGGAGATCAAGGCTGCAGTGAGCCAAGATTCCACCACTGTGCTCCAGCCTGGGCAACCAGAGTGAGTATCTCTCTCAAAAAAAAAAAAAAAAAAAAAAAAAAAATCCAATTGCATATAAGGAGGAAA